ACAAAGCAGTTTTACTGCAGGGACTGCAGTAAATACAGCATTCATTTAGGTGGTCACCTTCAGAGGTGGATTAAACCTCCAGATTCTAGGTGGCTCTGAGGAAGACGGCCACTCTGCTATCTTGATTTTTGGTGAGATGATCAGGAGTGTGTAAGAATTTGTCATCCAGCACGGATATGGCAGACTCAAAAGAATATCTGGTTTCAGCCAAAAAATGATGAAGCAAGAAGAAACCAATGCTTGATAACAACTTTACTAATTTTTAACTCCATCAGCCTTTTCTAGGGACAGTCACAAAAAATTGCAGAAACTCTTGCAAGTTTTAAGATCCTCAAGCTTCCTGGAGCTACACAATACCTAATAAAAATCTGGGTTTGGATGAGAACTGTCTGGTAATACTGCCTGATGACTGATTGAGCCAGAAGTGTGGCCAGGTGGCCAAGAAGGCCAACAGCATCCTGATTTGTATCAGTAATAGTGTGGCCAGCAGGACTAGGGAAGTGATCGTCCCCTTGTACTCGGCACTGGTGAGGCCACACTTCGAGTATTGCATTCAGTTTTGGTCCCCTCACTACAAGACACTGATGTGCTGGAGTGTGGACAAAAAAAGAGCAACAGAGCTGGTGGAAGAGTCTAGAGCACAAGTCTTATGAGGAGCTGCTGAAGGAACTCAGGTTGTTTAACCTGGAGCAAAGGAGGCTCAGGGGAGACCTTGTCAGTCTCTACAACTACCTGAAAGAGAAAACAGCCTCAAGTTGTAGCAGGGGAGGTTTAGATTGGGTATTAGGAAAAATTTCTTCACCAGAAGGGTTGTCAAGCATTGGAACAGGCTGCACAGGGAAGTGGTTGAGTCACCATCCCTGAAGGTATTTGAAAGACATATACATGTGGCATTTAGGGACATGGTTTAGTGGTGGACTTGGCAGTGCTAGGTTAACGTTTGGACTCTATGATCTTAAAGATCTTTCACAACCTAAATGATTCTATGATGCTATGATTACTATGCTGGCAAGAGCCAACTTACTCCAAACAAATGTTATTAAACAGAAGCTGCTGGTTTTGACAAAGTTTTGTGAGGAAATTAACAAGTCAGTCAGGGTGGACAAAATAGCTCAAGCTATTATATCTTCTTAGAGACACTACAAGAGTTACTTCATATGGGCTTTCCTAGCCAGAGAGCCAGTGCTGGTTTGTCATTTGGCCTGCTAAAAGGATACAAAGATTATTAAGAAAGTTTAAAGACCATTAAATAAGCACTCAGCACTGTGGTAAGGAAATTCCTTGTATAGATCTAGCTTGGTGACTGAAATCCTCCCTTGTGTTGTGAGGACAAGAGTGGTACAATGCTAATAGCACTGCAATATTGCCCAGACACGCTTTGCGTTTCTCATGATTTGATTTTGGATGTCTGAGAGATGTTGAGAAGACCTGACACAGTTCAACAAAAATCAAATGAAAACATGACATGAATAAGGGTGTTGCTATTTCTCCTAGCGCATGTTCAGAAGAACCAACATTACCAAGAATTCCTTCCAGGAAGCAATAAAGGCAGCAGTGAGTGATTTATGAAGACTTGGCAATTCATTCCTTGGCCCTAAAAATTGGAAACTGACACAACAATAATATTTCTTTTTTCAAAAGGAAATCATTCTCCCAGGCTTCCCAGTTCCCATCTATACCACATCTTTCTCACACAGTCCTGCATATGGTAAAGGACATGACCGTGGTTTATTAAATATGGAATAGCTCCTCTCCTGTGGCAGTAGCACGAGTCGTGGATTTCACTCAGGTCCATTCTAGCCTTCTCTTGCCATAGCTGTGGACAGAATGGTATTTTTGCACAGTGTACAAGAAAATGCCTTGAAAATATTAAAGTAGGTGCAATCTTGCAAGTACCCTTGGCCCTTACAAAATGCTGAGGATTTGAGTGGTGTAGGTGTCTCTGTGAACTGATACAGAAACACAGAACTCTGCTGCAGAGCCTGTCCAGCCATGATAAATGAGGCTCACAAAAAATTAACATGAGCTGGTATAGCTGATGAGTATGAGGGTTTTTTCTTTGGCCATCTAGTTTTCTATCATCAGATCAATGTGTTGCATCGGGACATGTTCCAGCCATGCCAGGTGAGGTCCAGTGAAATGGAAGCCATGAAAAAAACACCTTAGGGAAGGGTGAGGTAGCAGGGCTGCTTCTTTTAGCATAAGCCTGCAGCTAGTAACACCAAACCACATCAGGGCTGGCTTGGAGAAAAGGAGGTCCTTGAGATTAGTTTATTGTCTGTCTCATTTATTGCTTTCTTTAGGCAGCTGTACTGGGATGTAGGAGAATGTCTGGCGTGAAAGTTCAGAGATGAAACAATTAGATTCAATGGCATGATTATGGATTTTATGTGTGAGGCACCTTTGATTGTGGAAAAAGTTAAAGCTTGTCCTCCATAAAGCCTGGGAGGTTTCTCATACCAGTAGTACAAATAGGTAGATGAAGAGATGTTAAATTCCTAATTGTTTCTTTTATCTTTCCTGTGATAGAGACAGAGTTCTGTTTTAAAGACATACCAAAAGCAGGTCTTTCATCTGGAGTGTAAAATTCATGTGTTCCCTGACCCCATGTGTCACATGGTAATGAAACAACGTAAATCAGAAATGTTAAAAGTTGAAGTTTGTTAATATTACTGCTGAAGCTCCAGTCTCCTTCCTGGTTAAACTGACAGTTCCACAGTCCAAATATATATATATTTACAGATTACAACAACACAAACAAAAAAAATTAATGGACACCCAATGAGTGGCAAATCAAAAAAAATTAATGGACACCCAATGAGTGGCAAATGGAAATGCAAGTTTCAGGTTACTATCTGGAAATTAAGAAAAAAAACACAAAAAAGCCACCACAAAAACAACTTGCATTTTAAATGGGGCAATGGACCTTCTTTATATTGTACTACCACCTCACTCCTAAGAAAATACTTTGATGATTTACACTCTGTGGGGAAAATTTAGTAAATAGCATACATTTTACATTCTCTTATCTATGTTTCGTTCTCACTTCTGTAGCTGTCTGAGCTGAAGCAGTCACCAAGATATAGAAATGTATCTTCCCTAGTTGAGGAAGACATTATATACTGATATTTTGGGGTCAGTAAACAAAAGAAGATGGACCCCTATCAGCCTGTTCATTTGTTCCCACCCTTGCCAGCCACCTCAGAACAACTGGCTGAATTGGATGTAGACCAGAGGTGGCAAGAGCTCACAAAGTAACACAACGACTTTGGGGAGACTGTGCTAAGGCCAGTCCAGCCTTGGGACAAAATAAGCAAGGTGTTTTTTTCAGGTGCCCACTGGCCTGGGATTTATTAAAAATAAAAACCGACTTCCGTCTTTTCCTCTCCCTCCTCCCATAAAATCCATGGGGAGTCTCAAAGAGAATCTGAAAACAGGGACATTTCCATATAGCTCATTTCACATAGAGAAATCCAACTCATTAACTCAAAAAAGTCAAGACTATGCCAAAGCATACTGCACACTTGAGATAATCACAAGAAAGTCTCATATTGCAGTTTTTTCCCATATTAAATGGATTGTGAAAGCAACTGGAAACTAGTTCGCGTTCATTTATGTGAACTACTGCTGTCCAAATCTCACCCCGCAAAAAACCCTACTCTTTCTCCAGCAGACGACAGAAAGGAAGCCAGTCTTGAAGGTAGGTGAAATCCTGGCTCCACTTGCCAAATCTGAATTGACTTCAACAGGGCCAGGATTTCCTCCATAAAGATTTAGCTATGGTAAGCAGGGGGATGTCTAAATGGCAGAGTAGAAAACCAGGTTATGGAGACTTTAGATCCCTACTTTTTACCCTCAAGCCAAGCATCACAGTAACATATGACATGAGAATATTGCCTTGGCTGAGTTTGTAACAATCAGTTTTCCAGCTCAAAAGATTCACATTATTACTGAAGTTTCTGCAGGTAATCCTCCTACCAGAGGAATCAAACGTAACAGAGATGAAGTGCTTCTTTCATCTTTACAGACAGTCTCTTGAGAACAACTATCACTGCCACATCTGGTGATTCTGGAGCTACATCAGTTTTATTTTCCTTTGTAACCTATTAGTGACCCAATTTTCTCTGTTATTAGCACTATCCTGACCATCCTGCTTCATGCTGCTATAAAGGTACCTCTTCAAGTGAGAGGGACTGTGTCAGTGTGAACTGAGAGAAAAAACAAGCAAAAAAAAATTGAATTCTTCATCAGAATGAACACAAGCAGCCAGAAATAAGAAAAAACACATAAACAACTGAATCTATGCAGAACAATGCAGCGATTGAGAGAATTCAGTCAACACTGCTTCTAACAACAAAGTTAGGGCCATAATTCCCACGGTACTTCTAAAGAGTATTTTTCATGCAAGACACAAAAGTTACTATTTCTTTCTTAATCTTTGCCTCAGTTCCTAACGCAGCTCTCTGTGTGTCCCATTTAATGGGATGGATGAAAATTCAGTAAGTAATGCAATTTTCCTGAGTTCTGTTTTCTTAGCTTCTTGAATTCCAAAAAAGCATCTACTTTTTTCTCCATTATCAGATACAATGCTGTAGCATGGATGCAGCATCACCATCCAGGATCCAAATCTTAAAGCTACCTGTGAATAATGCTAACAGATAAAACTCAGTATCTATCAGTGTAGTGAAAGACTGTGTTACAATTACTTGACATGGCTGCATATGAAAAAAAAAAAATTACTATATTGTTTCTATCAAACTACCTATTTTACGTTAATATTTTCTTACTATCTTATTTACTAAATTTTTTTATCTTCACTGTAGGACTTATTTTACTATAGCTTTATTATTTACACTGCTTCTCTTATATCCCTTATCAATTTGAATTACTTAAATGATCTTATGAAATTACATAAGTACTGGAATATACACAAGATTACATGGGAACACAGCACATAAACTAAGAGACAGAAATCTCAAAACTATATTTAGCATACTCACTTGAATAAAGGAGTCCCACAAACAACACATTTGTATATTCCTTGAGCTTTATGATGTGTGTACTCCCCCTCAAAGGCACTGGGAAAACAACAACACTACATTTTAAAAATAAATAAAGGAATCTGGGGGTTTTTTAATTATTAAATTAGCTAAGACTTTAGAAAAAAGTTACAGAAAGAACCCACTATTTAAAAGTTGGCAGTTGTTTTTTATTAAAAGCAGCAAATAAAGCAGGCACAAGCAAAGGGGAATGTCCTCATTAGTGTGCCTCAGGTGTTATGTATCATGCAAGAGGAAGCGAGTTGTCCCACAGTTCAGAGGACAGAACAACAAAAAGGGAAAAAGCAGAATCTTCCCCTATTTGGCAAGCGAAACGTAAGTTTTTGTAAACACGGCTTGTTTGACATGTAGCTCGACCTGACGCACTTCGCTAGGTCTGTCTTTGGGAAGTGTGTTGGTGGTGGGCTCAGCTGCTAAGGCAGAGGTGTGAAGCGCCTGGGTGCCTGCCGCCTGGGAGCTGCGAAGCCGTGCTGCTGGGTCAGGCCGCGATGGGCTGCCGGGGCGACAGAGGCATTGTAGCTGAAAATGAAATAATTGGTCCACGATTTCAAGCTGTGTGCGCCTTACATTTTTAGTTGAAAAGCAATATTACAGCTTTAAGGGAATATTTTTCTAAGTTAACAATCTAAAAGGCTAGGAGGTCATTCATCTAATACGAATCAGCTGTGCTAGCCCAACAAAAAGCCTATGTGCTCGGCAGCTTGTTTTTATTATCCTTTCACCCTTTTTATGAGGTCCAATTTTTTTTTATAAACAGGATTTTTAAGAATGACCTAATCTCCGATTGTTTGTGTGCATTAAATCACGTTGTTGGTCCCGTACACAAGAGCGAGGAGGGCCAGGGGGAAGGCAGGCCTCCCGGCAGAGGCCAATGTCCCCCCTGCCCCTCCGGGGCTGCGGGAGGACGAAGGGGGCTGGGGCGGGCAAGGGGACCATCCTTGCTGTCCCCCCCTCAGCAAATTCAGCCACCGGTACGCGGTGTCAGGAAGAGTGCTGCCGATTAACCAGGACCCCACGTGCGGTGGAGAGCTCTTTCAGGTCATGAATGAAAACAAGCAGTTACATCATTAGGATGTTTGGAGCAGAGGTAAAGCCAGGGCCTTATGCCAAGCTCCGTGGTATAAATTAGACAACAAAAAATGGCTAGGCCTTGGCAAGTTACCTTCATGCTGGAATCAGCTGAGAGAGAGACTTTATTCACTAAAAACAGTCTTGGAAGTGAGTCCTTTTTTTTTCCCTCCAGGAGTCAAGGCTGGCTTCCAGCGACTAAAGCCATGTGAGGGCAGTTATTGAAAATTTTTCACATTCCAACCACAAATGAGCCAATAAATACCTTCTCCACATGTGCTTCAAAAAGAAATTGGAGTGGAGTGGAAAAGAACTAAATTATGCTACCTTCCTTCTGCAGCCAAAACGTCTATACTTACAATGGCCACCTTCAAAACTCCAGCCTCCTGGCACAGGGCCATTTCCCTCGTGGTTCTGCTAACTGCGGTGTCTTCCAAAAAAAGTGTACCTAAACCGCTATTACTTCCACACATTTTGTAGTAAACTAAAACAGACTCTAAACATGAGCCCGGTGACTTTATAAGACATGCAGCGTTCATTAGAAGGAAAAAGTCACACAAGACCCTTGGCTCCTGCCCCTGTGCTGCAGATGGTTGTCTCTGCAGTGGTGTTAATTTGTAGGGGTTAGTAAACAAGTGCAGAAATCCTGGGGGAAAAAAACAAAACAAAACAAAACAAAACCAACAGCTTGGTGGGGAAGGTGAGGAAGCACCAGTAAGAGGAGGGGGAGAAAAGAAAGATGCCTGTGTTTTGAGGACTGTGTTTCCTTTGTCCTGCCTTACCTTTCAGTCCCCTTCTCCTGAGTGACATGGTACTGCAAGGGTGTCAGCCGCTTCCTCAGCTCCTCCTGGGAAAAGACCACCTTACAGTCCTTTTTATCCCTACATGACCCTGCAAAGGGAGAGGATATGGGAGAAGGAGCCTTTTTAGCTTAAATCCTGAATAATTGCTTTGGCAGACGGCCACAGCATAGCTTCTGCATTCACTTGTCAATGACCAGACCGGTCCCTAATGCACGAAGAATGGCTCAGCTGAACTGCAGCTGATTATTTCTTCAAATCCAAGTTTAAAAAAGAATTTTGCTTGAGAGCCAGGTGATTCCACTGGAGCAGTGACAATGTGCTACAGCCAAAGCCCTTTGGTGTGTTATACACTAAACTGTTGCACACACAGTCATTCACAAGAAAGTAACATTTTTCCCACCAATAAAAAAAAATTCTGCAAAAAAAGAACAACTACAGCTGAAACGTTCTTTACAAGACATCTATATTGGAGACTTACGGTAATGGGCATATGATGTTCAGCCACAACATCCAACAATTTCACTACCCTTTAAAGTAGCTGAAAAACAATTCTAGATCTTCAGAATTCCAGTAAGGTTGATTTAACTTCTAGTCGCATCCTTGTCCTTTTACTTTGTACATTAACCATTCCATTTTTTCACTGCTGAAGCACTAGAATGGGAGCCCTGAGGAGCATATCAGGTTTTTTCATGCACAAAGCTGTACAAGGTTCAACAATAAACTTGTCATAAAAAATTAGGGTTGCTATTGAAATTACTCTCCTTTGAAAATCTCATCTTATGCCTTGCTTAGTTTACACAGAAAATCCAATGAGTACATAGGGATTACTGTAAAAAAAATCTGTACAGTGCAAAAATTCACATCACATCAGGGAAGAAAAAAATAACAGTAAGGTTGCTTTTGAGAATGAAAACTCCCAAAGTAGTAACAGAAATTGCCACATATTCAAATAACTTTGATAATTGCTTGCAAAAATTAGCTGACAAAATATGGCAGGGAAAAAGCACTCTAATTATGACAGTAATTAAAATATGGTACAATTAGAAATAAACAGTCCTGACAAAAGTATTTTTTGATAGTAATGTATATAGACTCATAAAAAGACCAATTGTGTTCCCAAAGTAGAGGGAACAGAGCTACCCATCTGTATGTCATTTAGTACAGGAGAGGCAATGGCAGGTTTAAATTACATGGTATTGGATTGCAATTTCCTAACATTGGATGCTTTTCTGCTTTTTTACCTTGAGTCATTACTAAGGAGTGTTCATAAAAAGTAGCTTAAAGCACAGATGCTTGCAAATCATTTAAGAAAAGATGTTTCTTTCTTCCTCTCCCTCTTCTCATTTTTTTAATGTGTGGGGGTGGGTGAATAGGAGAGAGAGAAAAAGAATAATGCTGTTGGTTACTACTGACTAACCCTAGGAAGTATTTTCAAGAAGAAAAAAGTAAAATTGAAAACATCTGATTGAAGTAAATAGTGCAAACATAAAAAGCTTTACTAGTGAAAGAAAGGTATTGAAAAGCGACTTTATTTCATAGATTAGAAATTACTTTTGATCTAAACATTCTTAAAAACAGATTGTTTTCCACTCTGAGCCATCTCATTAGCTGTGCTGCAGAGCCTTCGTTTTAATGGCAAGCTTTGAAAGAGCACTGCTGTATGCCTTTGTTAGCTTCAATCTTATTTGGGAGAGGGATAAAGATTTCATTCCAGGTCTCTTTGTTTGTCTTTCAAGAACCACTAAAGCAGTATTCACACAAATTTTGCAGGAATGTGCCCTGTGCCATAGCTTACAAATTATTTGGTTTTGGTGCACTTAAAGGTCACCTTCCAAATTAGCAAAATTTTCCTACATCCTGGCTTTTCAACCTTAAATGTAAATATTGTTTCCTAACTGTAAGTGAGGTTTGTTCTTTATAACATTTGGTTGCTTATTTAAAGATGTCAAATGTTGGAGGTTTTTATTCTCTGAATGTGCAGGGCCCTAGGACTAGTAAGTCTTTCAAAGTATAGCTAACAAGGAAAGGAAGCATATGCATTATATAAATACCTATTGTTATGTTGCATTACGCAGCTCAGAAAGAAACTGTTTGAGAGGCAGTCTTTCATCTGTAATTTCAGTACTAAAAGTAGTCTAGAGAGCAGCAAAGAATCTTACAAACCAACAGATCATCACTTTTAAAAATATCTACCAATTATTTTTTAAAATAATTCTATTTGCTGTTTAGATGTTGAAAAAAAACAAACTAAGCGTAACTTCACTTTGGAAAAAGTCAGAGGAAATACTGAATGTTTCAAAGAATGGTCAGTATTCCCTCTTTACTCTCCTTGAGTAAAGGATTTAGAAATTCAGTGTTCTTCATTCAATGGGCTCACTACATGCAGAAGAAAATTTCTATATGCCACTTGATCCACGGCATAGATTAGGAGTAGGAAATGTGTTACAATTTTTTTCCTCCATTGTTTTTAATAATTAACTGTGTGTTTTACCATACAGACAAGTATTTATGTCTACAGGGGAATTTAGCACTGGGGTAAACTGCAACCTACCCCAACAAAGGACTCTCCAGGTTTGTAATTTAATAGAATATACATCAGCAAAAAGCTATAGTTGCACTACAAATCCTAAAAGAAATATTTTGACCCAGCCTTTAGCATTCAAGAACAGTCTTATTCGATTAATTGAACTTATTATTTAACTGCTAGCAACAAAAAAATAGCTCAGTAGATTGATTGCACTATTTCCATATTGCCAAAGAACCAAGGAGATAAAGCAAGACTCACTCCTGACTGCAGAGGATGTAAGGATATGTTACCTGAAACAGGGCTAGCCTACAAGCCTCAATAAAATGCAATGAATTCTAAAAATTACTGGATATGATTCCAGGAATACAGTCCTTTGGTTAGGAAAAAAATTACAGGCAAGAGGAGCAAAAGTGCTCAACTTGCTGTACAAGAGTAGCTGCTTCCATTTTTTCAACTGTTCCTTCATAGCATATAGAAGATGTCTGCTATGTTCAAGACAGCTGTCTGTTGCTAAAGCATACATAAATAGCATAAAGCTACATAAATACATGCCCAATATGAGAGAAACTGCCACTAGTAATGCAGCTGTCATCAAAGCTGTTATTAAAGCAGAGAATAAAGGTGCTAGCTCACCACCTTCTTCGGTCTGGTTCCCCAAAGAAGGGACCACGTATGGGCTATGGAAAGGGTTCCCATACAGGCAACAAACTTCTTCAGCATCTCAGGCATAAAGGCAGGGTCCCAGTTCATTTGCAAATTATGGAGTTCGAGGCAGAAGAGAAAAAAGGTCATCAGTTTTATAAACAGCATGACATCAGCGTGATTACATTAAGGGTGAGATGAAATTAAATACACAGTGACAGTAACACTGGATCTGTATTAGGACTCTAAATTGGATCTCACTCGTTCTCTGGAGGTGATTCTTTCAGCAGTGACTTTTAGAAGAGCCTGGGACAGTTATGTTCCTAACTCCAGTTAGATCCCGCTGTTAGGAGAGGGGAACGCCAGCCTAGAAGGGCAGACAAAACTCCCTTTACATTCCACTGTAGGATCGGAGGCCAGATTAAATCTCTCTAATCAGTGCTCCTTGGTGCCTTCGTTGAAGTCGGCGCTCATTAGAAGAGCCGTGCGCAGGCAACTGTTCCACAAACAAGCACCAGCGTTTCCGCTTGAGGCCACCAGCCTTCAGCCTTTTGCCAGCAGCTACAGCAGTGCTGAAAGCCGTTAAGATCCTGGAGCAGGGTGGAAGGCTTTGCGAAGAAAAGGCCAGTTCACAAATCTTAATGCATGAACATTGAAAAAAAGCTGAGGAGGGTGAAACAAACACCAAGAGAAACCCTTTTGGAGCCTTTGTGGCATTCCTGTGCTTAGGAATGGCTTTTGTGAAAAGCAATGCAATGCACACGGACATTTACAATTCACCTGCAGACTGCAGGCATTTCAGAGTTCAGCTCGAGTCCTCCTCTGTACGAACTGAATGAACAGCAAGTATTTTCTGGGTGTTGACCTGATAATGAAGACGTTAAGCATCTCACCTCGCACATAAATTCCAATTTTGACTGACCTTTTCAAATCTGTGGTTCGTAACACAGGTGTGTGCCATTTCCTTCCATATAAGCGATCACAAGAAAACTAGAAATGAGGACACAAGTTAGCAGACCATTACTCCTCACCACTCAGCCCTTCACCTGCTCCAGTGTGATGGAGGGTGGCAATTAGTGTCTGACATGCCCTGAAATATGGTGGCATTTTGCCTGATGGCTCTCCTTCTTCAAAGAGACTTTTGAACCTTTCTATTTTCTCTTATGTTTTGTTGCTTCCTATCACTGAAATTAACACAACATTTCAACTGCATGGAAGACACAGCGTACATTTTCCCCCCTTCTATGAATGCTTATGTTCCACTAGAATTAATGGACATTACAGTCATGCACTGAGCACATACCATTAAGACTTCCTGAATTAAATACAGCAAGATCAAATGTTCCAGCAGAGCACAGCCATATAATAAATTGGGCTTCTAGTATTCAGTACCACTTCTTTTAATATAACCAAGATTTTTAGGGGCCTTCCAACATATTTTATCATTCATATACCACCCCAGTCCCAATTCTTCAATGTGATCGGTGTGGGCAGACCCTTGGGAATATGCATAGCTCCAGCAACTACATAAGGGTCTATGAATGTACATCAGATTACAGGATTTGGCTCTAACTACATATCTCTCTGCTTCCTAATGCCTGCCCCCTCATGAGTGGGTCCTACCTTAGTCACTGATGGCAAATTATCTCAAATTGATGTTAAGAGGAGTCCTGCAAGGTTAAAAAATATTTGTATATGTTCCTTTTAATTAATATCCTTACTTACACCATTGCTAACAGTATTATTAAATGTGGAATCTCTCCTTTTTAATATTTCAAGTTTAATTTACACAATTTATGCTTCTTGTTTACAGTTTTGCCTCTCTCTCTGCTTAGGAAAAGGCAAATGTACAACTCTCTCTTTCACTTCTGTTTAGTCTGTTCTCTGCAGCCTCCAGTCTGCAGCCTTGGGAAAATGCC